ATGCCAACGTGACGGCCGTCTTGGTGTGTGGTGCGAGATGGGAGATGTAGTTCATTGAGCGGTTTCACACAAAACAAAGTGTTACTTCAGTTTTACGACACATTTTTATTTTTTTTACTTATAAATTATCTTTTAAATTGACAAACATCATATGTGTAATTCGTGGCACAATTCAAACGGGATCGAGAGATAATCTTTCTCTCCATTGACTTCAATACATACTTTTTCAGAAATAAGGTCCCATGGAGCTCCTCCGGAAGGGGAGGGGCTTCGCCTCTCTATACAGCATTTTTGTTATTTGTGTAAATGATGTTCCTATAACTATGTAAACAAAAGCCCTGTAATCTTTTACGAGGGGCAACTTGCGATGGACCGATCATTCCTTAAGTATGGTCCAGTTTGTGTACCTAAGTTTCAGTTTCCACTTCATGAAAGTTAACTGTAACATCAGGGTATGTTTTTTCAGCACTCGGTTTGGCTAGAGCAAGACTAGCTTGTGTCCCAAAAAAAACCACATCACAGAAACGTAAAGATGGTAACATTTCCGAATTGGGGTTTCAAAATGGTTGTCAATTAATCCAATTGGCGATGACTTGCTCTTCCTTATTTGAAATGTATGATTTAGAGGAGTTATAAGTACAACAACACATGGCTTTAAAAGATGCTACAGAAACATACCAAAGCTTTCTTCCAAGACCCACGTACTGTTCTTTCTTCATACAGCAGGATGCATGCTCTGTGTTAAATGGATCATGATACAATTTGATTTTGTAGGAAAGTCCGTGGGCATCGTGACGACCACGCGGGTGCAGCACGCCACGCCGGCCACCAGCTACGCCCACAGCGCCAGCAGGAAGTGGTACAGCGACGCCGACATGCCCGAAGCCGCCAAGAAGGACGGCTGCACAGACATCGCCTCCCAGATGCTCAAAAACACCGATATAGACGTAAGGATATCATAATCACTGCTTAAATGACTTCAAATGTGTGCATTCGTGCCAAAACAAGATTATTTAATAGTTGTTTACTTTAATCTTGTATTTTTTTCTGTTATTTTACAAATATTTTTCTTCAATTTTCACTTAAATGTCTGTTTTTTTAGAATATTTTATGTAAATATTCTATTTTTTTCCTTACATTTTTGCAGTTTTTCCAATATATTCTTTTCCTTGTTTTCTTATATTTTCATTATATTTTTTAGGATTTTTAATATTACTTTTAATGATCCTACACATTGATATTTTTATTTTTTTGTGTGCAATTTTAGCAAAATTTCCGCTACATTGTACTAATACAATTGTATATTATAACGTGTGTGTGTGTGTGTGTGTGTGTGTGTGTGTGTGTGTGTGTGTGTGTGTGTGTGTGTGTGTGTGTGTGTGTGTGTGTGTGTGTGTGTGTGTGTGTGTGTGTCCAGGTGATAATTGGAGGTGGTAGAAAGTACATGACCCCGAGGGGCACCAAGGACCCAGAATACCCCGCAGATTTCTCCTCAAGGGGCAAAAGGAAAGACGGACGTAACCTCATCGATGAGTGGCAGAAAATGAAAATCGGAAAGGTAATATTTATATTTCAAACACAGAAACTTCGAAACTGCCTTAACTTAAGCAACAGGTGAGAATAAAACTCTTTGAGGACAGCTTAAAGTCAAGCAGTCCTATTGTGAACCTGGAAATGTTGAGTACCCCAAAGTTTTATGTTAGCAATGTATAATACAGGACTTGCATATGATGGGCAATTTACACAGTTAGCATCAATTGACAGAAAATATTTGTCGACTAGGACAATTGTGGTGTGGTTTTGGAGGGTTGTTGAGGATGTTGAATCTATTTCTGACATTTTCAGGATCAGAAAGTGGCCATATTTGTACTCTGTTGGCTGATTTTGGGGTCGTTTTGAATGTTTTAGGGGACTCAAACTGCCATTTATGATAATGGAAATGTCAGAAGTTGATTCAACGTCCTCCAAAACCACTCCAAAATTGTACAAATCGGCCAAACCATAATCTAGCTATAGTCTCCATATGCTAATTACTGCAATTTATGACAATTGTGCTAATTGCCCAACATAGGCAGGTTAGCATCTGGCAATTTCGATGTTCTGGGGACCCGCACTGTACATTTCTATCATAAAACGTTGGGGTATTCAACATTTCCCGGTTCAAACTGCTGGCATCTAGATTACTATAACAATTACAAACAAAAAGCTCCGGTGACTCAAAACAAACACAAACAGGTTCTCCGTCCTCCTCCCACTCTCAGGTCGCTCGCTACGTGTGGAATCAAACAGATTTCAGTGCTGTTGACCCTGAAACCACTGACTACCTCATGGGTGAGTTTGTTGTTGTTTGTTGTTTGTTGTTGACCCTTTCCTTTTACCCTCTTATGCTCTTCTCTGCAAGGGAGAGCCCATAGTGGCCTTGGTTTGCTCAGTTATTATTCTATTATTGATGTCAAGGCTGGATGTTGTTCAATGCGTAGTTGTTGCACATCCAAAATAAACGATGATGGCAATAAAAAACTGTAACTCCCTAATGAGCGATTAACTGGCAGTGACTCACCTGAATCATATGTTCAAGGTGCTTAGTGACCAACAAGCAACAGGTTCAAAGACTCAAAGGCTTTATTTCTCCTATGCACAAAGGCTATCATATGTTCTAGCCAATGGGAGTCCCAGGCTCCTCCAACACGGCAACATACATCATACTTTAAGCATAAAACGAATAAAAATAAAGCAATTTTCAAACAAATGTCACGTAAATTGCAGGAATAAGTATAAAAACTGAATGTGTAATTAATTATTTTACAGTAGAATACATATTTTATGATGTAACAATATATAAAGGCATATATTTATATACATATATATATATTAGGGTTATATTTTGTATTTAATTTAATTGCAGAATTCAGTTTGAAATTTCTTTTTATAGATGCGTAATGTACAATACAAAAGATATACAATACAGCCGAGTAAGACATAATAACAAAAACCTAAAGAAAATAAATAATCAAACAAATAAACAAACCAAAAATATATATATATATATTGTTGGGGAATAATTCCCATAGATGTTTACCTTTCCTTCTCGGGGCTTGTTGACTCCAAGGTGTGAAATCTTCGAGGCCGTAAGCATCAACTGCAAGTAATTCAGTGTCCCCAGCGGTTTGGACTATCTAGTGGAGAATGTGGATTACCCTCCTCCTCCAAACTAGTTAAGACATCATGCGAGAGGAAGGTTTATTCAGGATTGATGTGGCTTCTCTACCGTGTGGTCAGACCGTGACCCGTGACATGTCTCGTGAATTCTCCGGCCGAAGCTCCAAATAAACCGTCAGTGTTTGCCATCAGAGCTCCATCTCTCCATCGTGTCTCTTTGAGTC